GCCACTGTGCATTTAGTATAAATACATGTATGACCATGTGTAAAAGGCCTTTAACCATAGTGCAGGGCTTGGACCTTTGTGCCCCCCAGCTGTGCCACTGTGCATTTAGTATAAATGCATGTAAAAGGCCTTTAACCATAGTACAGTGGTTGGACTTTTGTGCCCCAGTAGCTTATGTACTAGCTTGAAGTCAGCTTCTGCATGAATGAAATTCAGATCCAGTAGCACATTAAAGGGCAACAAAACTTTCCAGGGTATAAGCTTTTGTGAGTCAAAGCTTACTTTGTCAGGTAACACAGTGAGCTTTGACTCACAAAAGGTTATATCCTAGAATATTGTCTTGGTCTTTAAGGTGCTACTGCACTCAAATTTTGTTCTGTTACTACAGGCTAACATGGCTACCCACCTGAGACCTTCGACATGAATGGTTTCCTTCCATTTTTATCCATTGTTCAGGATCAGAAAGAATATGTTAAAGCCAACTCAACTTGGAAATCATTTGTTTCACCTGATGGCTAGGTGTCCAACCAAGCGTTTGTTCTCACAAAACAACTCCAGCACACAGAACTACTAAACGCTGAATTAAACAGAAGCCAGGCTTCTCCCATCAGTAATGGACTGAAATATCAGCATAGTTGCTTTAGCAACTGGAGATCATTATGGACTGGAAGGGGGCAAAAGACCAGCCTTCACCAAGGAATGCAACCTAGCCAGTTTTGCTACAATAAGGAATTCCCACCACCTATAAAAGGTTGTTGCTTCAATAGCTCATACTGCCAAAAACTCCAAGCAGGGAAGATCATTATTTTCTCTACCAAAGTGTTTCCATAGTCAGTGTTTTATATTGTAAGCTGGCTAATAAATGTTTTAAGTAAAAACACAAGCACTGACTTAATTCATTTGGATCACTTTAGATTAGACTGAATTCATTGGAATTCAGTCAGAAATTCCTTCTTTTTACCCACCAAAGCAACATTATGTGATTTTCCACATATAGTTGTCCGTGCTCCACCTGAAAATGACAACACTCAGTACCTAAAGAAAAAGCAGTAATGGCGATACTTTACTTTCCACCTTCCTTATACCCAAAATTGCTTTCGCTGGCTGCTCTGTAGAGCAGTTAAGATTCCCTTTTAGAAAAGTGCACTCGAAAAACAGTGGGAGAACATTTTAATCTTCCAGGTCATGCCACTGCTGACCTAAGAGTGGCAGTCCTCAAGCAAAGAAACTTTAGTTTAAGGGGCACTTACAAGAAGAGACTGCTGGACTTGAGTTCATTCACAAGTTCTGAACAATGGACACCTCCCCCCCCCAATAGGGACATAGGATTATCTCACCCCAGATGCTAATGTTCTGCCCCCAAGCATTTTCACCTCTGTTCTAATCAAGCTGATCACAATATGCATTGTACCTTTACAAGCATTCTTTACAACACCTTCTGAAGGGGTCATAGAGACTCAGAGACCTCCATTCCTACTCATAGCTGATGCAAGGAAGCGTCGACTCAAAAAAATTCATACCCTGAAAATCTTGTTAGTCTCTAAGGTGCTACCGAACACGAATCCAGCTACTCTGCTGCAGACCAACATGGCTCCCCTCCGGAACTTTTAAAAATTAAAGTAGGTTTTACTGGGCTGCGGTGGCTCAAGTGGTAAAGACGCTGAATTGCAGACTGGAAGGTCAGTAGTTCAGCAGTTCAAGACCAGAGTGCCGCATGATGGAATGAGATCCCGTCTCTGGTCCCAGATCCTGCCAACCTAGCAGTTCGAAAGCAAGAAATTGCAAGTAGATAAATAGGGACCACTTCAGTGGGAAGGTAACAGCGTTCTGTGTGCCTCGGCATCTAGTCATGCTGGCCACATGACCAGGGAAACGTCTTCAGACAGCGGTGGCTCTTCAGCTTGGAAACGGAGATGAGTACTGCATCCCTAGAGTCGGATTCGGCTGGCAAGGGAAACATTTTCCTTTACTAGGATTTACTGCTCTGGCCCAGGAGGATCCTTGGGTGATTTAAAAAAGCAACCAGAACAGCTTGCTGGCAACCAGAGGCAGTAGTTCTGCATACGGTTATAAGTCAGTCCCACTGAAAGCAGAATGTGCTTCCAAGGTATTACAAAAAGGATTGCTGCTGAATGAGCTCCTCAGTTCCCTTTATCTTGATTCTAAGCACCTGCTAAACTGTGTTGATAATGACCAAGATCCTGTTGATCCATTCCACTTCTTCTGGTGTAAGGAGACTTCTGCTGAAGCAAGAGGCTCCTTAATTGAAGAAAGTGCCATTCATGGAAAAGATCCACAGTCTGCAACCCTTTCTTTCACATCGTTCTGTGCCATCTATGGTTACTCTCGTTAACTAAACCCCATTGGATGAGTCTCCAAACCCCTTCTTGGGTTTACTGGTCATTACAGATTTCTGTAAAAATTCTGGAATTTTCAAAGCCACCGGGGGGAAATGCAGTTTTCCCCATGGAAAAAATAATAATTCATGGAAAAAATGAAATATATGCAATACCCAAGTTTTTACTGATTAACATGAAATATGTTAAAAACAGTCAACAATAATTTTATAACAGTCAACATGTACAATTATATTTTTTGGCATATTTATGGAATTTAGAAGTATAAATATCTTAATTTTCTACAGAAAAATTGGAAGCATATTCAGTACTAGAGAGTTGCAAACTCCTGTATCCTATGGTACCCATAGGATGTGCATCTTTAATTTCTGCCATCTGAGAGGTGGGGAGGGGAAGCCGAAGGTAGAAAACTGTACTAAACAAAAGGAAGTATCACTTGGACAGAAATTGTCTCAGAGACACAACAAGCAAGACACCCAGCATGCTTGGATATTCAGCTACGCTTTGTAACACTAAACTCCTTATAAGATGATATCATTAAACACATTATAGCATGCTAATTATTGTCAAGACGTACATTTAAACAAAAACATCTTGACAACTGTATATGTATCTACTATATGAGGGGGGTTTCCAAGCACTCTCCCAAATTTCCCATTTTTTCCATTGGAAAAAATTAAGTATTCACTTTCTTCTGCTATACCTTTCAAATCTGAAAACCTTGCTTTAAGTGTTTAACTTATTGTAAAATAGAAAGTATGTCATAGGTTTTTTCATGTTCCCAAATTTTCTATTGGAAAAAGCCGTCAGATAAATGGGGAAGAGTTTTTTTCTCTCCAGAATTTCTGGTCACGGGCTTTCACATGCCATTGCTCACTTCAGAGGAGAAGTAGCCCAAAGGTTGGATCCCATGGAAAATTCCTATGCACAAAACAGTTGTACAAGCAGTAGCATTAGAACTATTCCTCACTGTCCTTGAGCTAACCGAAAGAGAGAGTAGGGGCCACACCCCATTGCACAAGATATTTCTTCTGATACAATTTAAAAAGAAAAATACATATGCTTGTTTGCACATTATTTCAATAAAAATTACAATGAAATTCTCTTTCACACTATTGCTTCAGCAAGCAGAGCTGCGCTAAGTACATTTTCCTTTCCACTTATGCAATCCCAAGGGAGGATGCACGCACACTTGGGTTCAAGTGCATTGAAATTGAAACCCAGTTACCAAAGCAGGGCCACTCTGATAGAATTCTACGTGAGCATCTTAAAAATCTAGTGGATTGCTCCAAGAAGTATCCTTTAGAGGGGAAGAGGAGAGAGACACTGGAGAGGGAACAAGAGGAAGAAAATGTTCAGGTAATGACATGAGGCAATTTAATTTGGCAGAGTATCTTTTTATTGCATGTGTATGGTTGTGGAATACAAAAAAAAAAATGAACCAAACCAAAGTACTTGCATTTGGGAATCAGCAATTCATTTGCACCATTTACAGTTATAGGATTCCAGTTTCCACTTGACCATTAAAAAAAACACCACCAGTTTTATACAGTCAGTCTTGCCAAACAGAAGCAATTTCCTATGCGCAAGAATGTCAGCGTCATTATCTTTTTCACAACATAAAAGGACACACCAACATTTTTTTTTAAAAAAACCCCTAATTTGTAAAAAGGCAGTAATGGATATATATTTATATTGATTTATGTCAAAGAGTTTGGCAGCCAAGTTTTACACACTGAAATGAGTGCTTAGTCCATCATCAGAAGAATGATGAAGGTCTTTGGGGTGGGGGGAAGATTCTGAAAGCATTAACTGCTTGATTGGCAGCACACACGGTTATGCTGATCTGTGGAAAAATTTCTGTGGCCTTCCCCGACCCCCCTTTCCTCCTCCTTCACCTTATATGTAGGGTACCCCAGTGTCAATTCAGGCTTTTTGCCTACACCTTTGCTTACAAGCAAAAGTGTGTTGCAACTGAACAAGTGTAAATGGTGAAATAAAAGGAAAGCCTGTGATGGTTGTGTGTGTGTATATATATATATGTCTTTTTAAAAAACAAAAACCCCAAAAGCCTTTACAAACAAATCTGTTTTAGCATAGATCATTTCACATCCATGTCATCCTGTACATGACAGAAATCATACATCTACAATTATTCTACATCAGTCACTGTTTTCAAGAGAGCTCCCCCGCCCCTCCCAGGCATATGCACACAGTGTTCTTAAAACGTTTTAAATACTGCTTTGGAAGTGCTGATATTCATGGGTTGGGGGCCCACCAATATACAGCCTGATAAGACCCTGATGCTTTACAGTTTGGGCACACACAGGAGATGAAGGCACATGGTTCATCATTAACTCTCTTCTACACAAGAACAGCTTCTGAAGACACTCGGCTCTTCAAACTGTATCTTAAATGCTCTAGCACAAGTTGGACTGAGATAAAAGCCAAGCATTTACATAACAGATGCTAACTCCCCTAGGCTCTGCATGCTGAGCCTATACTCAGAGAACCTTACTATATAAAATACAT